CGGTCCGATGGTCGTCGTCGTCGTCGTCGTCCTCGTCGTCGCCGTCCGTCGTCTGCGGTCTCTCTGGCTGCGGATGCAGTGAATTCGAGAACGTGGCGTTGGACCCGACGTCTGCCTGATATGGTATGCCCATATGAATGTCACTACCAACAGTAGTTATCTGACTGGCCAGTCGGGTGGCTTATCTGCGAGTGAGAACTTTCCCGAGGTGTGTCAGTCTGGTGACCGTAGTTCGTGGAGGCCGTGGTGGAGGCGTGGCTTGCTCCAGCTGCCCTCTCGCGTGACAGCCGTCCAACCCGGCCGACCGGCCGACCGACCGACCGACCGGACAACGACCGACGGCGACGACCGAGCGACCGAGCGACCGACGACCGATGACCACCGACCGACCGAGCGGTCGACGACGACGACGACGTCGACCGACGGCGGCGACCGACAGGCAGCGACAACGGCAACGACGGCCGACCGACCGACCGACCGACGACGACGACCGACCGACAGGCCGATTGACTGGCCCATCGACGGATCGACGACGACGACGTCGACCGACGTCGACGACCGACAGCCAACGACGACGGCAACGACCGCCGACCGACCGACCGACCGAACGACCCACCGATCGACCGTCCAACAACGACCGAACGATGGGGGCGACGACCGACGTCGACGAGCGACGGACGACGACGACAGACCGACCGACCAACAACGACGAACAACGATGACGAGACGGGTGCCGTCGTGAAGTTCTGGGAGCCAAATCTAGAAGGGTGACCGCGACTGGTTGAGGCCAAATTCTATAACGCGAGGGCCTGGTGCAATTGTAGAAAGGAACGCTTCCAGGACGCGGGCCCCCTTCCGCCTCCCCCCCCTCCCCTGGGGACGAGAGTTCCGCTTTTAGCAAAGTGTCTATCTATCTATCTATCTATCTATCTATCTATCTATCTATCTATATATATATATATATATATATATCGATATCTATACAAGACTGCAGTGGCGCTTCGCGCCATGCACCTTGGTCCTTGAAGTTTGGCATGCGGGCGGAATAGCAGGAAAGTCAAGCCGACAAATTAGCGATAACTCCTGGTTGCCTTTTCCAGCATCGCCGCTATAATAATGTTTTTCGTTATCCTTCCTCCATGCTTCTTTTTCCTTATTTTCGCCATGCCCTGCGCATTCTCCCCATCCTCCTCAGCGCTTTTTTGCGGAGGCTCCTCATAGGAGAGCCTCTAAGGGCCTCGCAAAAGTTGTTTCAGGCTTTCTTCAGGCCTTCTGGAGGCCTCCGTGGCGTATTCTGGGGGCCTCCGGGGTCTTCCTCGGGCCACCCTGCCTCCAACCGCGGTCTCCCTGAACGACCGAATCACGATTTAGAATTCTTCGGAGGGTGTCTTTGCTTTGGGCCATCTTGGGCCGCCATGGGGCTCTCTGCGGTCCATCTTGGACCCGTGTTGTGCCGTTTGGGGCTCTCTTGGACTGGCTGGAAGCCCTTTCGGATGGTTGTGGGGCGATTTTGGAGCCTCCCAGGCGGCTTCGGACGCCCAGAAGACCGCCGTCTTGGACCGTCGGGAACCCCCAACCCCAAAATTCACCAACAACCAACAGAAAATCAAAGATTTTTGCCTCGGGGGGCCTTCTTTGGAGTGCTCTTGCAGGCCTCTTTGGGGCCGTCCTGGATGCCTCTTGGGCCATCTTGAGGTCACGTCGGTCACTCTTGGAGCGCTCTTGTGCTGTCTTGGGGGTCTCTGGGACGTCTCCGATAACCCCCCTGATCGCCCTAGGTGTGCTGGGAAGGCTTGGCAAAATGCCCTTCGAGGCCCGGTGGCCGCTTCGAGGCCCGTCCGGAGGGCCCCAAAGCCCCAGATCCCGGGAGTCCAGTTTTGGGGGGGGGTGACGGGTTCTCCCCCCGCCCGGGCATACAAAAATATAGGAAGAGGAATATGGGAGGGGCGGTTGCAGGCGAATGAGCCACCTCGGGCTCGAATCCTGCAACAACCTTTCTGGTTTTGAGGCCTCCCGCTGGAGCCGAATGAGCCCGAGTCCGCAAGAGCATCCCATCTTCCCTTGTGTGCGCGCACGGCCTTCAATCTTCCCCGAGCAGCACCCAGACCTTCAAAGGGGCCCCAGGTGCCCTTGAGGCCCCTGAGGAGGCCCACCTGGGGGCCGTAAGTGAACCCGAGGGTGTCCCAAGGATGCCCCTATGTAGCTCCAAGAGCGCCCCACGAGAGCTCCACACAGGACAAGCCCGGTGGCCTCTCGCGCCCTCTGCAGGGGAAGGCGCTGTCCCCGTGCCGGCCAGGTCCAGCACGCCGTTGGCCAGTCGAGTCGGCGAGCTTCGCAGTGCCGGCGGCACCCTGCTGGCCAGTCCAGTGCTGACAAGGTTGTGAGGAACTTCTGGCTCGTCGCCATCTTATGGGTATGTCATGAATGGACATGTGCTGGCTGGCTGGGCGTGTCTGACCTTGGCAGGATGCGCCCTCGCTGCATTCCATGTTTTCGCCAG